GTGCATCCCTATTCTCATTAACAAAGCCTTCTTTGACAAAGTAGACGCAGCCATATCTCAATTTATCTGGAATAAAAAACCTCCAAGAATTAAGAAAGCGTTTCTGCAAAGACCTAAAACCCTTGGGGGTATGGGGTTGCCTTGCTTTCGGCTCTACTGGTCTTATAACATTAGATCTATGTCATACTGGTTCCACACGCAGAGGGCTGAGTGGGCAAGGATGGAAAACCGAAATAGCTTTCCTTCCTCTTTAGCAGCAATACTTTTTTCTGCTCTACCAACACCAAAGTTAAAGATGAAAAATCCAATTATTTCACACTAAATTAAAATTTGGTCCCAAATACGGAGGCATTTTGGCTGGAAGAATTGTTCAGGACTATTACCAATAATAAATAACCACTCGTTCCCTCCATCACTTTCTGATCTGTCATTTCGCAAATGGCATTTACAAGGAATTCGGACAATCAATGATCTATTTATTGACAACATTTTTCCTACATTTCAGCAACTAAAAGAGAAATTTAATATTCCCAGCACGGACTTCTTTAGATACTTACAAATCTAAAATTTCATAAAAAAGACATTTCCATCCTTCCCAAACAAACCTCTGGTTTCTTCAATGGACACACTATTTTTGCTTGACCCACAGACTAAAAGAGCTATTTCTAAGATCCATGATGATTTGACACAAATGGACTGCACAATCACACTGGATCATCTAAGAGAAGCCTGGATGGAGGATATAGCAGTGGAAATCACTGAGAGTCAATGGAGAAAAGCCCAAGAATTTGTCCACTCTTCTTCTGTATATGCCAGACATGGACTGATACAATTAAAAATTCTACACAGACTACACTAATTAAAACTACGGCTGTCCAAGATGTTTCCTACAGTCGAGCCCCTATGCGACCGATGTGGACAAGCTCTGGCCTCCATAGCACATATGTTCTGGAACTGCCCAAGACTCTGTAATTGAAGTTCTTAAAATTCAACTCCAACCAGACCCAGTTTTGGCTTTGTTTGGGGTGAAAGCGGCAACAACAGTTTTGTCAAATAACCAATATAATATGATTCGTTACGTGACACTGTTGGCACGAAGGTTGATATTACTGAATTGGAAACAGAAAACCCCACCGGCCCATCCAACATTACTGAAAGAAGTGATGAATCTTTTACAATTGGAAAAGGTTAAATTCTCACTCAGAGGGAATGTAAACAAATTTCAGGTGATATGGCATCCCTTTATAGACCATTTTGAGAAGACAAAACTGTGACTGATAGTCACATAACTAGTGGCATCCCTTTTTCCTTTACCTCTCATTTTTTCATGCAGCATCCTGTAATTATTATTATTATTATTATTTTATTTATTTTTTTACTTTTTTTGTGTTTGTTTGTTGGGGGGAAGGGGGAGGGAGAAGTATTCTCTGTATTGCCTAAAAAAAGAAAAAGCACAACATTATAAGATATGTTACTGTGTCGAAAAACTCAATAAACAGAATAAAAAATAAAAAAACACAGGATTACATTGTACATTGTCACTAGCATACCAAATAGCCAGCAACAGCCAACTGAATGTATTTCATTTTTCATAATCATCTCTCCATATAGTAGCTTTTGTTAGTGGCACTGTCCGCCACTGGTCAGTTTTGGTCATTAATAGTCAAAAAGGGATGAGCGAAATTTAAAAGATTTTCATTTTCTATTTTATTCTAAAAAATATAAACATTAGAAGACAGAAACAAAAAAGGCCTGTTTTCATATTTTGAGAGCAGATGTGGTCATTTACATATCCTGGCTCTAGCTGGGCTGCCATGTGCCTCAGCTGGTTGGGTTATCTAACTTTCTCTGACTTGGTCCCCCTGTGTTGTGTTCTTGCTATTCAGTGATTCTCTATCTTATAGTTGTCAGGTATTGGTACACATCAGGCCACGGACCCTTATTTGATTATTCCATAATACTGTCTATACTGTTAACTGACAAGTGAAACAATATAATCATTCTCATACATTCTCTCATTGGGCTTACTTGTAATCAAAGAATTTCCCCATATTTCTGGCACCCCCTCAAGGACCCCTGGGGGTCTCCAGACCCCAGGTTGAGAACCACTGAGCTAGACTAGCGCTGAGCTGTTAAACTCTCTCCATCCCACCATCGCTATAGCTTTAAAAATCTTTTGCTTTATAAATGTGTCTTCTGTATTTGATTCCTTGGACTCTTTATTGCTTTGTCTAAGCCATGCCCTTATTAAGAAGTTGTGTAGACAGCAGGAAGAGAAAGCCAAACAATGAACTTGAAGCTGCTCATGGTTGGCATATTGTCTCTACTGCCCAAGGCAAGACGGGGCACTCAGTAAAACCAAAATGACATCCTGCTGTCTGTGAGCATCAGATCATGTGATTTTATTCTTCTCTCAGTGCTGTATTAGGGTGTCTGCTGGCATGTTGGCTTAGTTATTGGTTGACAACAAATAAGACTGAAAGGAGCAGTTGTAGTCAAAATGGAGGGCAGGGACCCTGCTCATTGTCCCCCATCGTTGTTGTCGCCGTCGTCGTCATCATCTTCTTCATGTTCATCATCAGTCACTACTATTAGTGTAGTTGTTGCTACTGTTGTTGCTGTGCACCTTTGTCTCTGTCTCTGTCCTTCTATCGTTACCTCTGTTCTCTCTCTGTCTCTCTCTCTCTCACTCCAACTGGTCGAGGCAGACGAACACCTACCTAGAGCCGGACTCTGTCCGAGGTTTCTGCCTCTTAAAAGGAAGTTTTTCCTTGCCGCCGTCGCCAAGTGCTTGCTCATGGTGGGAACTGTCTCTGTAAATAATGCTATAAGGAGTTTGGTCTAGACCTGCTCTATTTGAAAAGTGTCCTGAGATAACTCCTGTTATGAATTGGTGCTATACAAATAAAACTGAATTGAATTGAAGTGAATTTATTTAGTTAAAATGTTTTGTATTAGTGGCAGCTACATGCTGCCATAATTTTAATGTATAATTAGTGCTGTCAAAAAATTTAAATATTTAATTTTTTTAGATAACTCGCATTAATTAATCGCACATTTTTATCTATTCTAAATGTCCCTTGATTTCTTTTTGTCCCATTATTTTTCCTCATTTTAATGCTCTTATCAACATGGAAAAGTGGATCGGCCTGCTTTGTGCAAATGTTGTTTTTATTGAAAAATCATCCATTGTCACCTGGCTTTGATGAGGGGGCGGAGAATTCGCATCAGCTGTGTGTTTGGCCATCAAGTGGTATTTCAGACTGGACATGCTGCGATGATAGCTCAGTTCACAACGACAAAACACACAGATCACTTTGGTCTTGTCAATTGGCATCCATTTCGGCGTCTCGCGCTTGCCATCCACTCAAAACGTAATGTCTACTACACTTAAACAAGTGTGTGCGGCGAGCCTGTTGTTTTGTTTCCGGTCTAGCTAGATCTGGTGTGGTGTTGTAGTTTTTCTAACGTTACTAGTTGTTGCTACAGCATGTGAAAAGAACTACAAAGTGTGCTAGGCCAAAAAGAACGTTAATCTCGCGATAAAATAATTGACGCTGTTAAAATGGGTTTGTGTTAACGCCGTTAACACGTTGAACTGACAGCACTATGTATAATACATAATTGACAATAAATAAAAATAGGGCCTTTAGTTAAGGGGCTCGTTGAGTTTGTCTGTATGTAGGACACACACATCACTACTCTATAAACCTGTTTTTTCCTGCCTTTTCCCAACTACTCCAAGCTCCTATCAGCATATGCCATTATCATTATCACGCTTGTCATCTTTGCAGCATATACATTTGTTGCTGTGGTTAATTGTACTTACGCTGAGGCCACAAGGACTGTACAGGGGATGTCGGAGGCCATCACTGTATCCTGTCTGACTGATAGCATGGGGTATGGTATCCACCTAGAGAGAGGACAAAGGAAATGAAAACATACTGTACAGAAAAAGATCACATCAAGATCAAATAAGAGCGGGAAAAAAATATATTGAAATTGATATTTTTCTGAATGGAGCATTTTCTGATTTGGACATGGGATATGCCAATATTATTCAGGTTTTAGGGGCATTACCTGGACATGTATACAGCCCTTTTTGGATATGCGTCTCATTTGGGGTTTCCACTGCAGTTTGCATTTACAGTCAGCTCTGTGCAAAGGGTCACAATTTCGTCACTTTCTAAACTCGATTTGTCAAGAAAACATGGGGGGAAAAGTGTTTTTTTTACAGCGTAAAAAACAGCAGTTTGGATGAAGCTTTTTACAGCATTTTCTTAACAAATTGTGACCCTTTTGGCTTTCCATAACAGTTTGCAAGGCTTGGGTAGAGGATAAAGAAAAAGCCCACATTTCAACACACACCTGCAGTATGCACAGCTGCATGTAACCAGGAATATTAGTAGAATATTGATTTTCATTAGCCATAAAAACAGCTTAATTAGAATATTGTCTTTTTTGGAATAAGGGCAAAAAAATGAATATTTTGTGCATGTAAACATTGTCACTGTGAGTAACAAATGACCAAAAAAATTTATGTATCTACAGTAAAGTACAGTAAACTACACATGTATGACATGGGACAGGGGGACGAAGTCATAAACATTAGGACAACAAAAATATATGACCAGAATCAAGATTCACAGGTAGCACAAATTCTTAAAAATAACATGATCACAAAAATGGGAATTCCCAGGCCAAGAAGGGCTTGAGTCTGAGCCAAGTACTGTACAGCAATACCAAAATAAAGTTAAAGTTGCTGTAGGTGATATTTTTTTGTTAAAATAAGTGTTCAGATTTCCCAGTTCCTCCTTTCTGCAAAAAACAGAGAATACATTTTCTGGGATCCTGTTCCCACTTTATCCAATCAGGAGAGAGATCTCCCCAAAGAGGTTGGTAGCACAATTCCAAAGCGTCTGCATTTGACGACCTGATGATGAGACTCAGCTATCTACTTCCTGCACCCTTAAATTTAAAAAAGGGAAAAAGACACCATATCAGAATCAGAATCAGGTTTATTGCCAGGTAGGATTGTACACATAGGAGGAATTTGTCTTGGTGCATTGGTGCATAAAATATACAAATCACACAAAAACATACAAATCACACAAAAATCACACAAGAAGTACTTTTAAAATATAAATATATAAAGATAAGAAAGATAAGAAAACTGTACAGAAAACGGGAGTGCATTAATGTAATGCATAAATACAGGGTGGGATTAAGAGTCAGTTTAAGTGGGGGTTCCGGGCCTTGTTAATGAGGCCAGCTGCAGACGGAAAGAAACTGTTTTTGTGGCATGAGGTTTTGGTCCTGATTGACCGCAGCCTCCTACCAGAGGGAAGTGTTGCAAAGAGTTCGTGTTCGGGGTCGGAGGGGTCAGCCACAATCTTGCCTGCACGTCTCAGGGTCCTAGAGGCATACAGGTCCTGGAGGGATGGCAGATTGCAGCCGATCACCTTCTCAGGAAATCGAATGATACGGTGTCATCTGCGAACTATAGGAGCCTGACAGACTGGTGACTGGAGGTGCAGCTGTTGATGTACAGGGAGAAGAGCAGAGGATAAGGACGCAGCCTTGGCGGGATCCGGTGCTGATGGTCTGAGAGACAGAGACATTTTTCCCCAGCTTCACCTGCTGTTTCTTGTCAGACAGGAAGTCTGTGATCCACCTGCAGGTGGAGTCAGGCACAGCAAGCTGGGAGAGCTTGTCCTGTAACAGAGCTGGGATGATGGTGTTGAAAGCAGTCCACAAACATCCTGGCGTAGGTTCCTGGGGAGTCCAGATGCTGGAGGGTGAAGTGCAGGACCATGTTTACTGCATCGTCTACAGACCTGTTGGCTCTGTAGGCGAACTGCAGGGGGTCCAGGAGTGGGTCCTTAATGGCTTTGAGGTGGGAAAGCAGAAGGCGCTCAAAGGACTTCATGACCACAGAGGTGAGGGCAACAGGTCTGTAGTCATTGAGTCCTGTGGACCTTGGTTTTTTGGGGACAGGGATGATGGTGGATGCTTTGAAGCAGGCTGGCACATGACATGTCTCCAGTGAGGAGTTGAAAATGTCCGTGAACACCGTAGACAGCTGGTCAGCACAGTGCCTCAGGGTGGATGGAGAGACAGAATCTGGTCCGGCTGCTTTGCAGGGGTTCTGCCTCTTAAAGAGCCTGTTGACGTCCCTCTCCTGGAGGCAGAGAGTCGTCACTGTGGTGGAGGAGAAGGGATTCATAGAGGTGTGGAGTTGTGAAGTTACCCAGGCTCCTGCTGAGCTGTCCGCACTCCTAAACTCTTGTTCCTTCTGTAACCGTAACTGACTGAGTTTGGCTGTGAACCAGGGTTTGTCATTGTTATAATTCACCCTGGTGCGTGATGGTACACAGCAGTCCTCACAGAAGCTGATGTATGACGTCACAGCCTCTGTGTACTCATCCAGATTGTTCGTAGCAGTCCTGAAAATATCCCAGTCAGTAGAGTCCAAACACGCCTGAAGATCCTCCGCAGCTTCACTGGTCCACTGTTTTGATGTCCTCACAACAGGTTTACAAAGCTTTAATTTCTGCCTGTATGTAGGAATCAGGTGGACCATGACGTGGTCAGAGAGGCCCCCACGGGGGACAGCATGATAAGCTCTGCTGACTGTAGTGTAACAGTGATCCAGTGTGTTCTCATAAGGCCAGACATACATGTTGGACAACAGTAAAATACACATGTCACATGTCAGGAACACAGGTGCCAAGTTCAGATCTTTAGTTGGCATTTCAACCTATTGGCCTTGTACTGTACAGAGCTCCTACCTGAGACTGCACATTGGCTCCAACTTGAGCACCCTGGTAAGAGGCCTCTTTAACACTCTGCATGCTTATGAACATGTCCCCTGAGTTTGGGAGGTTAAAAGAACCAGGAGAACCTGGAGAGGAAGAGATGGAAGCAGCTGAACAAGAGAGCCATGCTGAGAAGGAAAACACATGCACACACCACAGAACACAGGATTCTATTGGGCCATTGTTCATAATGAAGACATTTAGTCTGTAGGGAATTCGCTTGGGAACCAGATGGTCAAGTCTTGCACAGACCATGGAATAGAGTGTGGATTGGTAGCTGGAGAAGTGCCAGTTCTCCTTCTGTGCAATGCCAATGTGCCCTTGAGCAAGGCCCTGAACCCCTAACTGCTCCCACGTGGCAGCCCATCACTCCACCATCTCTCCACATTATCATGTCCATGAGCCCTGTGTGTGTGTGTGTGTGTGTGTGTGTGTGTGTGTGTGAGTGAGATTGCATGTAAAAATCCAAGTGAAAAAATATTTTCCAGGTAATAACTGGTAATAAATACAAGTCAATCTTCTTGTTAGTGGATGCATTCCTTTTTGGTTGGCCCCGAAAGCGTCGCTGCCATCTTCCACCACTGTGATCAGGATTGCCGCCATGTTATCGTAGTCCGGCTCATACATTTCAATTTCAATTCAATTCAATTTTATTTGTATAGCGCCAATTCATAACAGAAGTTATCTCAGGACACTTTTCAAAAAGAGCAGGTCTGAAAAGAAATGCTATACATGCGGCCAACTCAATCGCAAGCACGGCTCAGCAGTCAATCATGACATGAAACTAAGATTTTTTAGTTTGGCCCATGTCCCATCTGCTAACATGGAGGCAACAGACTTTATAACCTTATGGCATCTAGTCTTGTAGTTGCAGATTACAACCCCCTTGCTTCACCCTCCCATTTCCAAGCGCAAAGGGGAAACTACAGTGGCCACAAAACGTGAAAAACACAAACGCCCCTATCTAGGACAAGTATTTGGTTTATCCCTTCTGGACCACTGTAGAAACATGGGGTTTAACAATACGGACTATGAGCAGTGAAATGAGCTAGTCAAATGAAATTAAAGATACCTTCTGCAATGGATTAGAACTTAATAGTGAGGACAGGATAATTGCAAGGTGGATGACTACCACCCTTAAAATGAAAACTAAACCCACATGGAGTGATTGCACTGAAATCACCATGGAGCAGGAACAGAGATGGGCATTGAATGCGCAGCACATGTAGGATGTTGTGTTTGTAAAGGTACAATACCAGTGATCATGCTGGTTAACAGAGAGTTTTTGCTGTCAGCAGCATACAGTTGGAAATCCTCATCTTTCATTTGGAAGCCTGGGGAAAGAGAAAGTGAAAATGTGCTCAACACAATTCAATTCAATTCAATTTCAATTCAATTTTATTTGTATAGCGCCAATTCATAACAGAAGTTATCTCAGGACACTTTTCAAATAGAGTAGGTCTAGACCGAACTCCTTATAACATTATAACATTACAATGATGCCACATTAGTGGTCAGACCTTCCTTCAGAAGAAATTACTGTTTATTACAACTTGGGTTTTATTTTTGCCGCTCTGACCAATGGTTCTACCGGTTATGATAACATTGTACTCATCAAGATAATTACTGACATCTTAGGACATGGTAACATTGTCTTTGTGTACAATACTCGTAGAAAACCGAACCTAAGCTAATACAGAAATTCCTGCTTAATCTAACAGTATTTGTACATTTGAAGTCCTACCTGAGTTGGGTATGGCAGGAGAGTTGGCTTGACTGTTGTGGACAGCAGCAGCTGCTGCCTGGGTTGCCGTCACCGCTGTCTTTGCTGCGTAAAGATTGGCCTCCTCCTGGAACTTGCCAATGTTCTTCTTGTACCGAATCCTCTTGTTACCGAACCAGTTAGAAACCTGGTGGAGAAAAAAAGGGAAGGAGAGAAAAAAAACAGTTTTCACACATCTGTCATTTTACTACAAATCCAACACTGGTTTTGTGTGGTTGACTTAAAAATACCATGTTGACAGACAGTGTGCTCCTTGATTTCAATGTGAAATCAAAACTACACTGTAGTCAAATCTGTGTTAAAAGGGAGCAGTGGTTAATAGAGTGGCAGTGTTGAGGAGTAGGAGTATTCCAGGTCATACTACACACAGAGCTTCTAAAGAGCAACCAAGGATAGACAATAACGACATACGACAGCTTAAAGGTCATTGGCCACTGTGTACGTGTGTGTAGGGCTGGTGACCTTTGTGTGTATAAGTGACATTTACCAAGTTCTCCCTACAATGAAATCGCCTCCACTGCCTTTTTCAAAACATCCCCCTCGTCCTGGTGAATTGAAGGCTAATTAGCAAATAAATTGTGATAATATGGACTCTAAATTTCACTAAGCCTTGTTCACACCAGAAAGTTGCACAGTAAATCTGTGCGTTCTTGAGTGCTAGAATCATGTGACAGTAGCAACATGTTCGTTTTAAACTGTGTTTAAACGAACAGTGTGAAAATACTAGGAATATGAACAGAGGGAGACAAACTAGGGAGAAAAGAGATGAGGTATGGGGATACTAGACATATTGAATCATACTGGGACCTGACAGCTGTAACCTCTCTTCTTCTCTCCATGATAGAAACCACACAGCTGCGCTTCATAATTTTGCTACATACTCTCCTCCTTAATATGGTTCTGTCCTCCTTCACATATCCTCCTCTGGAGGGAAATACCGGACCATTAAATGGATACCACAGCAACAGAATTTTAAGTGTGTTTTTATGTGTTTTGTTAGGTCAGGAGCTATTCAGTCATAAAATGACTAAGAAAAATAACAAGAATGTATTAACATAATAATAAACAGTAGATGAGGAGAGAGAATTGTGACATACCTGTGACACTGTGATGGTGCTTCCCCCGCCCTGAAGGCAAAAAAGAACGGGCTTTTTTACAGTACTGGACTCTGCAGACCTGACATTTCACATCCCGACCCCGACACAACAGATACAACATGTGACACTGAAACTTCTGTAGTTGACAACTAAACAGGGACAGTCACAGGAGGTGACATATTAAATGAAATTATTTGGGGATTTTTGTTAAAAATAACTATAATATATAATAAAATAAGATGTAAGTATGTTTGCGGAAAGCACGCTGTAATATAGAGTTTATTTTAAGAAAATTCCTATTCGGATGCCAAGATAGATCACCCTGGCATTATCACTTGGTTGATCAACAATGCCTGTTTGGTCTCCACCACACAGGCATAGTTACAGTCATGGAAAAAAATATTAGACCACCCTTGTTTCTTCAGTTTCTTGTTCATTTTAATGCCGGGTACAACTAAAGGTACATTTGTTTGGACAAATATAATGATAACAACAAAAATAGCTCATAAGAGTTTAATTTAAGAGCTGATATCTAGCCATTTTCCATGGTTTTCTTGATAATAACCAAAATCACTTAAGTTCTTACATCAATATCTATGGCATTGTACTGCCAAAAACAGTTCTTTTAGGCATTCCATGTTTTCTTTTCTGTCTGTTTTAGTCGCATGATACACACCGGAGATAGTACTTGATTGCATAACCATTGTTTTTGATGACTGCAGCCATGCATCTTGGCATGCTCTCCACCAGCTTCTGACATTGTTCTGCTGTCACAGCAGCCCATTCCTGTTGCAAAAATTCAAACAAATTTGCTTTGTTTTTGGGCTTGTGGTTCTCCATTTTGAGTTTGATGATGTTCCACAGGTTTTCAATTGGATTTAGATCTGGTGATTGAGCAGGCCAAGGCATGGTTCGAATGTTCTGGTTCTCCATCCAGGCTTTAACTGACCTTTCCGTGTGGCAAGGGGCATTGTCTTGTTGGAAAATCCAGTCATTCGAGGCAGGAAAGAGTTTATCAGCTGATGGAAGAAGACTGTTTTCAAAAGTAGCCCTGTACGTGACCTGGTTTCTTCGCCCTTCACACAATTGTATTTTCCTTGTTCCACCCATACTGAAACAACCCCAGATCATCACTGATCACCCCCCATGTTTTACTGTAGGGGCAAGACAGTCTGGTTTGTAGACTTCTCCAGGCTTCGTCCTAACCAGTAAGTTGGCTGGAGTGGGCATCAACTCAAAATTGGATTCATCACTGAAGAGAACCTCAGCCCAATCATCAACAGTCCAATCCTTGTGATCCCTAGCAAAGAGTAACCGGGCGTTCCTCTGCCTTTCGTTGATGAAGGGCTTCTTCCGTGCCCTGTGTGACTTCAGACCAGCTTCAAGAAGTCGGTTTCGAACTGTCCTTGCTGAACAAGTCACATTTCTCGACAGTGCCCACTAATTTTTACTACGACAATTCCTGACACAGGAACGGATGAGTGCACGGTCATCTCGTGGTGTAGAAAGACGTTTCCTGCCTCGACCAGCTAGCAATTTGGTAGTACCATGTTCAGCATGCTTTTTCTTGGTGTAATGAACGGCTGTCTTGGAGATCTTCAGTTTTTTGGCTACCTGTCTCTCACTCATGCCAATTTCCAGCAGTGCCAAGATGGCTGCCTTTGTGGCTTCACATAATTCTTTTATTTTAGGCATCATGTGAGAGCTGACAACTTCTGAGTTGTGCTACGGCTTGAATGTAAGCAGGAAACCACTCTAGGCCTTTGCATGTGCAGTGCTGCTTATGACATGAAATGGCCTCTTATATACCCTGGGAATACAATTAAGCTTAAGCATGTCAAATAGGACATAAAGTATTATGGAATCAGCTGCATTTTTTGTCGTGTTCATTTCATTCTTCAGGTAATATACCTTTAGTGGTACCAGGCATTAAAATTAACAAGAAATTGAAGAAAACAAGGGTGGTCTAATAATTTTTTCCATGACTGTATATATTTTGTTTGGCCTGATATGCACTCTAGGTGGCGCTGTTGGCTGTGGACGGACAAGATCTTTGGGCTGCTGGTGGTTATGATTTTATCCTCCAAGCCAACAGAGAATAATTTTTTTTTTTGAATCAACACAAACAAATTCTGTGAGGCTATCAAGAAGCAACAAATGTGGGCTAAATGGCTGTTAAGGGATCGCCTTGTGATGGTGTTGTTTGAGTCCTGTCAGTGTCTGGTGGTCTCTATATATTGTCTTATTGTATTGTAAGGATGCACTGATTTATCATCTTGTTAACATCAGCCTTTTTTGGCAAATGAAATACCTTTCTCCACCGCCAGTAGCCGATGATTATTTGTTCTATCTGTGTTGTATAATTTTGCGCTGGCTAAATGTTGCTAAATTTCCAACTCTGATTTTGGAAAAATAATCAGCAGAGATGCTCATCTTTGTAGATTTGTTGTGTAGTTTTCCAGGCAACAAAGGAAAATAAATAACATTAAAAAAAACATTGGCTATTGGCCAAATTGCTATTTTAAACATCTGTATTGATATCGGCCCAGAATTTGTGCATTCCAATTTTATTGTGCTTATTTACTGTCTTTCATGAAGCTTTGCAGCAAAAGAATGTACTCTTGTGGGACAATGAAGATCATAAATGAACTAAACAGACCCTGGTTTGGTAATTGTACAAAGTGTTGAAACCAGTGTGAAATTGTGCTATTATTCAGATAGTAGCAGGATTCATTTTTGGAGTCATGAGCTCAATATGGAAATTAAGCTGGGTAGTACGAAGAGTAGAGGCTAATTGGTGGCTTTCACAGAGTCTCTTTGGTGGGATCTGTAAAGACAGAGACCTTTATCAGATTGGCAAATTCTAATGACAGTAACCCAGTGACCGTCTAAAGAGCCTTATCATAGCAATGCTAATGTTAAACTTTTACTAGTTAAACACCATAGCAGCTGGGAGCTGCCCAGTATATGCACAGATTCCTCCTGGTGGCCAGTGAACAGCTCCACATCAGCAGCTCAGGAGGAGTCATGGTGTGGGGATATACAGTGAGCCAACATCTCTTCAGGTCACACAACCCTTTTCTACCACCAGCCCATCTTACATATAGCTTGCTAACTAAAGTTTCAATGCATGGAAATGTAGAGAGGCAGTATCTGCTAATATTATTATTGTTTTAGATGGCAATTTAAAGCTCCAGTAGATAACTTTTATAAAACTAACTTTATGTCATATTGGCTAAAACTTATGACTATATCCGGACAGTAGTGCATGAGACAGATAATCTGTGAATAAATCAGGTTCCTCTGGCTCCTCCTAGTGCTCCTAATGGCATTTACAAGAATCCAGTGGCCTAAAGGAAAACAACAAATTATTTAAAAAAAATTCTTTACAGATTATCTTTCTTGTGTACTACTTTCAGGATATATTGAAAGTTACTGCAGCTTTAAATATTATATTATAATTATTCCGATATATTAATTAATTAATTTGTTATTGCAAGGTGTGAAGCCATTATAAGCATTATCTGAGATTTTTCATTACCCAATAGCTTAAGAATAAGAAATATAACTCATTATAAGTTTTTAATGTATGTTATTCTCAGATAATGCCATCACAATATGACAAGATGTGTGTGTGTGATCACCAGACACCTTGAGCATGACTTAATAACATGATACAACTATTAATCAAGGATTCATGGATGATAATTTATTGTCATTTACAATGCAGGGTGGTAGAATAAAATTAAGATATAGTTCCCCTTATGATACTTTTAAACTAATTAACAAGTCATAACATTTTAAATAATACACACAGCCTGTGGGAACAAGCTGTCTTTATATCTTTTGGTTTGGCAGCTTATCTTGTAGAACAATAACAAGGTTTTTGCTAAATACATTTTGCTACTTTTTTTTCCTCACCTGGGAAACAGTGATGCTGCACTTTTTTGCAAGCTCCTCTTTGGCCTCCTCACTGGGGTATGGATTACTCAGGTGTGAATAAAAATACTCATTCAGAATTTCCGTGGCTTGTTTGCTAAAGTTCCGCCTTTTCCGCCTAAGAGAAGGAAAAGAGATGCGATAATGATGAGATTCTAAGATGCCTGAAACTGATTTTTGGCTACATTACACAATACTTATTATTGCGTACTGCCACCTCCTGGTAAGTCCAGCTACACACTCCTGTGCACTGTTATGCACCTGCATAACACTTGATTTTTTCACCCATGGATGTGCCTTAACTGACTCTGACTGGCTAGTTTTTGTTTTGTTAGGTTTAGGCATGAGGAGGATTAGAAAAAGTGTGCTGTCTTGGTACAACTGTTACACTATGAAAATAAGAAATACTGTGTTGTTAATGAATTTCAGACAAGCTGAAGTTGTCTTGATATCTTGGCTCCAGCCATCTGCAGGACATAAAAAAAACTACATGGCAACGCGTTTACTTATTTACATACAGATATATACAATACCGGTCAAAAATATCACTCTATCATTCAAGTGAATGGGAACAGCTCTGGGTTCAAGATATTGCATGCAAGTATGAGTATATATATATATCACCTTTGAGCAAAAAATATTTTCTCTAAATATAGAGGATATCTAATCCTATATATTTCTCTGCCATGCTCTTGGCTCAGTGAACTCGTATCTCTTGCATAACCTTCTTGCACACAGTATCTTGAGCCCAGAGCTGCCTGTGACAAATTCATTTAGACAAGATATCTGTTAAGAAATCATCTTGTCTTCATTCAATTACAATAAACTCCCCCATATCCAGGTGAACTCATTATACCCAAGATGGAGAACATATTTGACTGAAGGTTTCTTCAGTAACGACCATCTGGGGGGTAATTGTTGAGATATCGATATCTGGACCGAGCTGGTGTTGGAGAAACACCATCCAAGTTTACATCTCTATATGTATGTTTTTATGTTCCAGACTCACCTAGCGTCCAGGAACCTAGACCGCAGGATCATGACAGCCTCACAGGTGCTCTGCTTGAGCTGCATTTGGATGGAGCTGAACTTGTGGTGAATGATGTTCACCATGCGTTCAATCTCTTTTGGTGAGATGGGTCGTGTCCGTGACTGCTCTTTCAGCAGGTTCATTACATGAGTGGTGAATTCATTGCAGGCCTAATGAAATATCACAGAGACACAAAGTTAGGCACATGTAGTCCCCCCACAGTTCAGCAGTGATGTAAGAGGAGATGTATGTAATATAAAGTACATATAGGCTCACCATGAGAAAATTAATCACAGAATCAGAATAACATATTTGATCTGGTGGCAGAATGCATACAAAACAAAAAGGGTCCCAGTACTAATCCCTGCAGTACTCCCTGTTTAGCCTTTGAACAGGAAGACACATTATTATCTGCGTTCTGTCCCTTAATAAGATTCTCATGACGCTCAAAAAGGGTGTCATGGTCTATAACTGAATAGATTATGAATTGATTATAGGTTTTGGATCAAATTCTAAGCATATATTTCAGAGTTATGCCAAACTACTGTATTTCAAAGAGGCCACATCCAGAAAGATTTGGCAGCAACAAGGGTTCGAGTTATCTGGGATGCAGTGGGAACTGAGCTCCTTAGTACGCAGTAAAATCATACATCTGTAGGGGTCTCTAATTACAAATTGCATTTTTCATTGTAATGAGTATTATTTCTCTCTGTATTGACTGCTCCCTTTCTATTGGACTTTTGACTTGCAAAAACCGATGCATCTTCCCACTAGTGCAGCGCTACATAGAGTAGGGTACTGTGCACCTGCAACCAGAAGTGCTACTTTCAAATAATATGGCATTTGAACCGGGCATGAATGAAAACAATCAATCAGAGCGAAGAGAGATTTAAAGACACTTTGGGTTGGAGGCTTAAAGATAATTGATTGTTGACTCTCATTTCCAAGGTCCAAAAGTGTCTGTATTTTATGCCCAGGGAATGAGACAAATGGCATTAGGAGCACCAGGAGGAGCCAGAGGAACGAGGCACAGATTATCTGTCTCATGTACTACTGTCAGGAATGAGTGAAATGAGTAATTTTTCAGGCTCACCCACATATTGTATGTGCCAAATCTGTCCAATATTAGATTAAATTTGTCAAAAAAGTGACAAAAAAATAAATGGATGGAGTTTCATGTTAAAGTACTTTCATTCCTTAGTAAAACTGCACTAGCTCACTTACAATAAAAGACACCAACTGCACAATGGAGGATTGTACAACGGAGTATTATATTACTACTATTATATATATTACTAAGAGAAAAAAATATTATTATTTTTTTAAATTACGAGAAGAAGTCATAATATTACGAGAATAAAGTCATAATATTAGGTCTACGAGAATAAAGTAGTGTGAATAATGTCATAATAAATAAATAAATAATAAAGTTGTTTTAATGAGAAAAAAGCTTCGATAGAGTTATCAAGATCTGACGTGACCAGCTCAACCAAACAGCAGCCTCAGCCTGAGCCCAGCAGCCGCTGTTTGTCTCAGTTGTACCGTACAGTCAACAGGTAAGCTAACGTATTGATAATGTCGTCGTTAAACAGTTTTGCTGGCTGAGCCAACAGGCTGACAGTTCTCATAAAATTACTACTTTATTCTCATAATATTATGGCTTTAGGTTTCTGCCTTTTAACAGGCAGTTTTTCCTTGCCCTTGTCGCCAAGTGCTTGCTCATGGTGGTACTGTTGGGTCTCTGTAATTAATGTTGAAGAGTTCGGTCTAGACCTGCTCTATTTGAAAAGTGTCCTGAGATAACTTCTGTTATGAATTGGCGCTATACAAATAAAATTGAATTGAATTGAATTATTCTCGCAATATTACGACTTCATTCTTGTAATATTATGACTTTATTCTCACAATATTACAACTTTATTCTCGTAATGTTACGACTTTATTCTCGTAGACCTAATATTATGACTTCATTCTTGTAATATTATGACTTTATTCTCACAATATTACAACTTTATTCTCGTAATGTTACGACTTTATTCTCGTAGACCTAATATTATGACTTTATTCTCGTAATATTACGACTTTATTCTCGTAATGTTACGACTTTATTCTCGTAATATTATGACTTTATTCTCGTAATGTTACGACTTTATTCTAGTAATATTATGATTTTATTCTCGTAATATTACGACTTTATTCTCGTAATGTTACGACTTTATTCTCGTAATGTTACGACTTTATTCTCATAGTCCTAATATTATGACTTTATTCTCGTAATGTTACGACTTCATTCTCGTAATGTTACGACTTTATTCTCGTAGACCTAATATTATGACTTTATTCTCGTAATATTATGACTTTATTCTCGTAATTTCCCAAAAAACAAAAAAAATCTCTTAGTATGGCCCTAATACTAATTTACTTAAGCCAAATACAAAAGCAGGAGGACAAAATATATAAAATGACATATTCACAGTAAAAAATTAAAGGTTTAATTATTAGTAGCAGCTACAGAATCAGTGATTCACCTGTTCATATTTTTCTAGCTCAGTGTGATATATCTGTCTGATCTGTGTCAGCTTGGCCCTGTAGTCGGAGTGTTCGATGGAGTTATCTGCCACGCTGCCCGCTGCAGCTGCTGCAGCTGTAGCCACTGCTCCTCCACCCCCTTTCTCCAGTCCAGCAACCCCCTCAGCCAGCAGCATGTTGTCCAGTCTCATCAGTTGGGTGTCTGGAGGTTCTTCTTCCTGTGCACCACGGATATTCAGACCTGACAAGCAAAGACAAAAACACTGCTGATGTTAATGTGTGTGACAGAAATCAAAAAGTTTCAACGGACCAGAGGGGAGTCAAAGTATTAATGGAAGGATTTAATGGAAGAGACGATGCAATTCTTTCATATTTTTGGAGAATATTATAAATATGCATTTGTCACTGAGAAAAATATCAAAGAGCTTCTCATGTCAAAGTCAAAAGGTTCACAAGGCAGACTCAAATCTGAGTCAAAACTCCCACATTGCAGAGAAAAGTCAGAGTCAAAACACCCAAGACAAACACAAAAACACCTACATTGACTCATTCAACTCAACACATTTACATTGCAGAGACAAATCAGGGTCAAAACACCTATGTTACAGACACACGGCAGAGTCAAAACACCCACACTGCACGGACAAGTCAGAGTCAAAACACCCTTGAAACAGAGACACGGCCTAATCGAAACATATATGTTACACAGACAATTCAGAGTCAAATCACCCAGAGAGAGAGAGAGAGAGAGAGAGAGAGAGAGAGAGGTACACAGAATGTATCAGTGTAACCCATTAAGCTGAAAGAAAACAACGTTCACACCTGATCCCACATCCTGCTCACCACCTCCACTGCTGTGCACATTAACAGCCAGCCGATGGCCATTTTCACAAATGACATCTCACTTCACAAGCTCTGCTTTTGCCGCACATAGTCCAGTAACCCTTCTGCATACATAAATACAATTATATGAAGTATTTCCGTTTTTAAAGAAACAACAGAAGCTGTCCATTGTCAACATCCATCACAGTTTAAATACCCAACTTTATCTTACTGTAGTTGCCATAATTGTGCACAAACAGTTTTCCAGTGCAATGAGGAATAAGTAGCACCATTTAAGGTGTGCTCACTTTCAGTTTAACCTCCAAATAAAGTGGTCGTCTGATTACTTGTTTTACTTGCCATCACATACATTTAATGACTTAGCATCACAGTGTTTGAGCTATAAAAACAAAACCCAAATTCTAATAAGCCATAATTCTCCTTTAAAGGTGTGATTTCCATTATAACATTTGATTACAAGTTGACATGGATACTATTTAAGACACACTACATGTGGTGGTTAAGCACTGATAAGCAGCATGTGGTCAAGTACCACGCGTGCATGGCCTCTTCGATTCACCTTGATTGGACGTATTACGGAGTGGCTTTGCCCTGCAGGGATAGAGCCGGTGCCTAATCTCCAACCAGTTCTTTGTGTTTTGACAGCCAGAGAACTGTCTCTCTCAGCATGAACACTTTCAGGCAGTTATGGTAACCTTTATTCCGCTCTACGCTGATGACTACATCTGAATTATCTGTCAGAAGCTGAAGCTCCGTTTTAAATACTTGTATCACATGAAACCCAACATATCCATTGGTACCAACCATGTCATGCAAGCTTGTTGGGAAGGGCTAAATGACGCTCCAAAATTCTGGTGATGGAAAAAGTGACATGGCTATTTTCTAAGGGATCCCTTGACCTCTGACCTCAAGATAGGTTGTTTTTTTGTATACAGCAATGTGTTATTGACCTCGCATATTTGAATATTTCTGTGTACTGGGGTCGATATACTGGTCCACATTCCAGTGGAATTCCATTTAGGACTAACTGGAAAGCTGAGCTTAGTTCACTAATGTACATTATCCAAAGCTGAATGCCCTCCGCTTTGAAACTCATTCTGGCACCACTGACCCATTGCCTAGCTGCATGACACCACCAAGACTTTAAATACAGTTCATAGAGCACTTGCAGAACCACTCGCTGTTGCTTGTGAGCACATGGTAATAACTGAATGCAACTAGTGGGATTTTGGCATCAAGACAATAAGAGGACAATGTTTAGAGAGGTTTTAGTAAGAAAATCGGTCACAAAACTATATAAGTGAGGGGGACATGGCCCTGTCCTATCATCCCAACTGGAATTTATGCCCTTGAGTATGCAATAAACATAAAGCCCTCTCTGGTTTGAGTGCTCACAGTAGCCTCCAACCTCACTATTCCCTCTCCTGCTGTCCACCTCCTTCTACCATATAGCACTGCTGCGATGCATCCAGCCAGGCTCTGATTCTCATGTCAGCGACATTAACTGTAACAAGGAGCCCTGATGTGGTGTTCCCCCCATCCAGCTGTCACTTCCACTCCTACTGCTAGCTGTTTGAGACACTTCACAGGGATTTTGATTGTGGCATTGGGGGTTGTCCAACCTCTCCAAAGCTAAGTTGATGAAAGTAGGTCATAATACAGGTGCCATGTATGATATTGCACACACCATGTGCATCAGAACTAAGTGACATGTAAGAGAGAAAGAAGTTAACAGTGACACTGAAGGAATGCTTCACTGGTCAGAGTACTTTGTATTATAACAGAAATGTGCATTGTATTTCTCTTTTTTCTGCTTATGTCTATGAGTTGGAAGTAGTTCAACACAAAAAGGTAATATTTCTTTTTCAGATTGTGTGTAAACCATGCAGAATTTCACATTAAAATGTACTTCATTATTCAAGTGTGGTAATCTTATAATTTTTTCTTATTGTTAACAAAGCTTACTCAAACTAACAATAGATGTATCCTACTAATAAATATTGTGTGTGAATCCAGAACCTGATATCTTATTCCTCTGTGCCATAGAGCTCCATTGTGTTTTTGGAGTTCCCAAACCCTGAGATGTGAACCAAAGCCATAATGCAAGCTAATTCATACACACAATATCATATAATCATACACATCATCAACACACCCTGTATGCATGTTCCCCCCAGAAAACCCTTGGCTTGATATTTCATGTTATTATATACAAATAATACAAAAAAGAAACAAACAACGTTCACTGCATCAACAATCAAACTTGAACTGTAACTATTTTTCAATTCAATTTTATTTGTATAGTGCCAATTCATAACAGAAGTTATCTCTATATTAGAGAGAGAGAGAGAGAGAGAGAGAGAGAGAGAGAGAGAGAGAGAGAATAAGCAGTGATTATAGTTATAATAGACTCTGTATTAATAATAATAATGGTAATAATAATAATAATAATAATAATCAGTGATATTAGCTATGGCAATCTAGCAGGATCATGGCAGGAGGCTCCACCAGGATCCATGAGAACCTGCGAGACGAGAAAGCACAAGAACTCCGGGGAAGAAGTGAAGTTAGTAACATGCATTAATGGGACATGAATGAGTGCAGAAAGAGAGAGAGAGGAAGGCATCATGGGAGATCCCCCGATAGTGTAGGCCTATAGCAGCACTAAGGGATGGTTCAGGACTCACCTGATCCAGCCCTAACTATAAGCTTTATCAAAAAGGAACGTCTTAAGCCTACTCTTAAATGTGGAGATGGTGTCTGTAGACAAGAGTGCATGGAAGCTAAGTGATTACCATGGTAAATGGACCTGTACTTGTATAGCGCCTTTCTAGTCTTCCGACCACTCAAAGCACTTTTACACTACATGCCACATTCACCCTTTCACACACATTCACACAGTGATGGCAAAGTCCATCGAACAGAAACTAACATTCATACACATTCACACACCAAACAGCATCGGGAGCAATTTGGGGTTCAGTATCTTGCTTGAGGATACTTCAACACGTGGCGGGAGGAGCCGGGGATTGAACCAACAACCTTCTGATTAGTGGATGACCTGCTCTTCCTCTGAGCCACAGCCGCCTCTACCTATGCTATTCAGAACACAAACACAGAAGCTGGTCCTTGTACCTCCCAAACAACAGACAGAAATATAGAAAAATAATGAGGGGAAAAAAACATAATGCCCAGAGATGCATTTATTCTGTGGCTCTTAAACACAATCACACACACACACACACACACACACACACACACACACAGGTAGATGGTGTGGCAGGTGGTCTACGGCCTGTCTCATTCAATAAATTGTGGCTTGTGTGCAGAAAGGGCAGCTGTTTGTCTCTGTGTCCTGACTGCCTCATTGAAATGGACAGGATCATTCCACACATGGCAGCAGCAAATGAGCAGAATGCAGAGGTGTGTAAGTGCTTTTCAATAGTGCAAAACACGATCAATCTTCACTATTCTTTTGTCTGTGGAACATTTACGCAGCAGCTACAGGTACTTTGAGGGGTTTGTCCACGCAGACAGCAGCTTCAGTGGCGTTATATTTGCATCTTGTTCCTGGTCGTGCAATGAGACGTTCTAAGCGCAGGAAAATGTCTTTTGAAATTATATTTTGTTGAGAAATTATTATCACGCAAAGAACAAACAAGATAAACAAAATAAAATATACTATAAAACATAACATGGTAATGACTCTGCATCCAGTCTGGGTCAATCAATCACAAAGAGTGTCCAGACAGTCAATATAGGGTTACCATATCTTGGTTATATATGTTTCTCAAGAGAGAATTATTCATTTCAATCTAATTCTTACGGTGGGCAAACGTACGGTGGCCGACAAGGGCAAACGCGCCGCAAACGACAAAACGCTTCAAAAACGGGAATGATGCAAATCCAAAAACACACAAACTAAAACAAATCCAACAGAAAAACGCAGCAAAAGAAAAATGCTGCAATCACAGAAACGAAGCAGAAGGACAAACTAACAAACCCACAAAACAAACGCCAAAGAAAAATGCTGCACATTTCAAAAACACACAAAACCCCAAAACAACTGCCAGATAGAAACGCTGGAAATTCGCTGGACAAAATGGAAGTGCGCCAGGCCACTAGGGGGACCCGACTTGAGGGATGGACCAGTCCTGTGGGACCAGACCTGAAAGATATTTGTGCTTCTGCTTCGTTTCTGTGATTGCAGCATTTTTCTGTTGCTGCATTTTTCTGTTGGATTTGTTTTATGTGTTTGTGTGTTTTTGGATTTGCATCATTCCCGTGTTGGCAGCATTTTGCCGTTTGCGGTGCGTTTGCCCTTGTCGGCCACCGTAAATTCCACGTTAAAGATACGCATTTTCATGCCAAAATAATGTGTACAAGTGCAACAGTATT